TAAATCACCAATATTATAACTTTGAACCATGCAAGACCCGTCAATTCTCCTTGGTTTATGCTTCGATTGCTTGTGAAGCTTTATGGATTTCTTGAAATTTTAATCCTCCTGTTAAACTCAAAATCGTCTTTGCACGGGGGAGAGTACCTACTTTTATTGTCTTTGCTATGAATTTATTTCGAAGTAAAATGAATACTAGTTAAAGGGCCTATGATGTTCAAATCACCAATATTATACCTTTAAACCATGAAAAAGTCTATCAGTTTATCTTTCACCTATGCTTCAACTGCTTGCACTCGACCTTCATGCTTTTCTTTTGAGTCTACCTGTTAGACCCAAAATCTCACTTGTGAATACGTGTAGCTTAGGATTTCACACTTAGAATCAACAGTTTACAGATTTTTTCAAACAGTGGCATGATCTATTTACTGGAGAGTTGAGGAATTTAATCCTGATCACCAACCATCTATGATTTTTCAGAATATATATGGTCAAGGAGGAAGAGCATTCTGGATACACAACACTGGCCCTATCGGGTGCTTGCCAGTAAACCGGTTTTATATCCTTAATCCAGCACCAGGCACTGTTGATGACTATGGTTGTATTAAGGCTCAGAATGAAATGGCTATGGAGTTCAACAAACAGCTTAAAGACATAGTTGTCAAGCTGAGGACAGAGCTGCCAGAGGCTGCAATAACTCATGTCGATGTCTACACTGCAAAATACAAATTGATAAGCAATTCAAAGAATCTAGGTAAACAACTCAGTGTTGATCTATATGCCAAAGCTATTCGAGGTGCTCGTTGTCACCCGTATGGAAAGAATTATCAAAACTAAACGGGTTTCTTCTGTAGTGTACTTTGCTGACTCGAGTTAGCCTCTTATGTTTTAGGTTTTGCGGATCCATTGAAGGTATGTTGCGGGTTCCACCATGATTATGACCACGTGTGGTGCGGCAACAAGGGCATGGTCAACAAGACTGAAGTGTACGGAGCTTCTTGTGAAGATCCTTCAGTGTTCATAAGCTGGGATGGAGTCCACTACTCCCAGGCTGCAAACCAGTGGGTTGCTAATCACAATTTCTATGGTTCTCTCACAGACCCACCAATTCCTATCACTCAGGCATGTCATAAGCAGTGAGAGCAAATAATATGTACGAGTCTAATTTTATATAAACATATAAATTTAGAGCATTATATTGAGAATATTTTCTCTTTTTTTTAAAAAAAATAATTTGCTCAAACATGTCGTAAGTTGTGAGAGCATAATAATATGTATAAGCCCAATTTTTATATAAACATAGTGAATTTAAAGCACTCATTTTAGAGCATTGTATTGAGCAAGCTCTGTTAACCAAGGAAAGTTTTAATGACTATAATGTAAGCATTGTAAAAGTTTTTCTAGCCTATGTAACATCAAAATAGTAAATCTTCTAAATCTCTTTCGCTTAAATTACTTATTCTCGCTATTATTACTTTATTCGAATAGAGAAAATTAAAATATCTGATAGATTGAAATATGGTATAAACTGTTTGATAAATAAAAGTATTAATCGAGAATGAATTAAAATGCTAAAGTTAATTGACAATGAATTGAAATGGCGAGATTTGATTGATAATATATTAAAATGATAAATCAAATATTGTACAAGGTCTCATTCTTCCGAGACACTCCACGTGATACACTAACCAATTCTAGACCCTAATAAAAAATTTTTGATACATTTGACATTTGTTCAAATGGGTATTTCTTTATCTTTTTTCAGAAAATCAAGAGTTCAAGTGCCTCAAAGTGTATCTCTTATGTCGTAGAGTTGAAGATAAAAAATAATCTGTCTACCAGTAATCACCACAAGAGCATGTACCATCTTGAAAATGGTGGAACCTCTTTGCATCTCTTACAACAATCTTTCTCCGAACTATTTTTGACATTAATTTGACTGCATTGTGACAATCCCCACAAATTCTTAGGTTCTTAAAAACCCTAATTGTGGCTCCATGAGGAAGTTTCATCAGTCCAAAAGCAACTGCAAGCTTCTCACTATGAGTAGACAAGCTGTATTCCTTCTGATCAGACTCCATGTCATGCAATGCAAATTTTGTATCAGGGACATACCCTAATTTTCTCATTT